CTGTATGAATAATTCTAAACCACTCTTTTTTATACAACTTGGCAAGCTATATTCTCAACTAAATGTTGAGCAATAGCCATTCCATATTCATGGGGGGAAGATAGCATATTCTATCTATCTTACCAAGTCGTATTTTGGAAGGAACGTGCTGATTAATTCTAGTTTCAAATGCAAGGTTGTACGCCCCACATAACCAGCAGCACACTGGCAATTAAATTCATATACTAAATTACTCAATTTGATGTAGGGCAATACATCCTTGAAAAAGACGGAAACGCAGACCTAGTTTGAAAATGCTACGTAAAGTTGAGAATATAGCTTTGTGCCAAGTTGTATAAAAAAGAGTGGTTTAGAATTATTCATACAGCCGATTCCAATAATCATTTGAAGATTTTGGAATCGGTCTGTATAGATTTAAAACCTTCTCTCTGCCGGCAGAAAGAATTTATAAGGTCTCTAAATCTGTTGGGGATATTTTATTTTAACTGTCCCTCGATATTTATTTACACGATAACCCTTCCCTCGTTACAAGTATATATACTTGTTCGTTATTTTAGTGTGTTTTCCCCTCTTTTTGCTCTTCAATATCGCTATTATTCATTTTCGCTAATCCAACGATTGTCTCCTGATGAGATGTTGGCTGAAAGGGCTCTAGAGACTTTAATATTAAAATCAATGGTTTCCCTAGTTTTAAAACTATATATATATATATATATATATATATATATATATATATATATATATATATGTGTGTGGGAAGAATATGAATATGTTAGGCAAATTAATGACAATAACTGTCATAACATTTGAAAAGAATTTATCTCAGCTTAACATAAAATGTGTTACTACTTTCAAAACAATAAAAGACTTAATTAATAGAAAACAAAAAAGTAATAAACTAAAAGTTGAACGAAGAATTTACTCTGCCATCTGTAATAATTGCTACAAGGAATACATAGGAGAAACCACAAGGAATTTGAATAAAAGATTTTATGGACACAAAAGAGATGTTTTACAAAACAGCAAACCGAATACATTATTCACTCACCCACATACGCCGTCCTCATTTCATGCACATGACCTACATCTGAATTTCCTGACGACCTGCAAAAATGTCAAAAAACATTTTAAAGTGTAAAAACTTTTTGCAGTTATCTTAGCGAAATTCTTGTGGGAAGGGCGAAATCAGGGAATTCAAGGGTTATCTTTTGACAAAACTAAAATGGAAAATATTATTTCGTCTTCACAGAAAATTTATAGAAATGAGTTCCAGTCGAGCCAATCTGATTTGGAGGGGGAGTCAAAATTTGCATATATGTTCTAAGAGAGGAATGTAAAATGCTAAAATAGTTAGCCTAAGTTACCGAACGTGTTCGCAGACGTGTTCAGAACGTGTTAGCAGACGTGTCTAGGACGTGTTCTCAGACGTGTCTAGGACGTGTTTGCAGACGTGTCTAGGGCGTGTTCGCAGACGTTTCTAGGACGTTTTAGCAGACGTGTCTAGGGCGTGTTCGCAGACGTGTCTAGGACGTATTGGCAAACGTGTCTGGGACGTGTTAGCAGACGTGTTTCGGAAGTGTTCGTAAATGTGTCTAGGACGTGTTAGCAGGCGTGTCTAGGGCGTCTTATCGAAACTCTTAAGAGTCCTAACTCTTTATTTTCTACCGTTACTTCTACAGGAGAATTTGGCAACATATAGTGATTTTTTTTTTTGTAATTTGACACAAACAATTGCCACCGCGAGATTACAACTGTTACAAGTAAGAATTTGTTATCATTTCTTTCTTTCTTTCTTTCTCCGCTGAGATTAGCTTCAAAAACTAGTATTTGCTATCATAGTTATTCTACCTTCCCTTTTCCATAACAGTCGGACAAAAGCTTGTTTAACTTTGAGTGTTTGTCTAATATGTTGATAAACTATAATTCTATATAAAATCTTGGTCAAATAGTCTACTCTGAAAGATGCATAATGATCTTGCATTGGAACAGTCTATATAAATAAAGCGTAGTGTACGTGTGTCCGTCCGTCCGTCCGTCCGTTTTTCAATCTCGGCAAATCATAAACAGCCTGAAGTAACAAATAGTAACTACTGCAGTTAAACGCGATTAAAAATTGAATAAATAACTCATTTAAAGTTAAATTTAAATATCGAACAGAGTGAAAGTTTTTTAAAATTATTAAAGGTTTAACTTTAATTTTGCTTTTCGTTGCAATTGATATTGTCTAATTAAACTGTAATTAAAACGGGGCACGGTACGTTGCTCATATGTTTTTTTTTTCTAGAATGCGTACCGTGACGTATTCGAATTATTACATAGTTCGGGTTCCCTAATGTCTTTTAAGAAGAATGACTTTATGTGAAGGAATCATAAAGAATGGTTGTTGTTTTTTTTATTAAGAAAATAAAAAATGAGCGCAAAAAAAAATGTAAATAAACTACGGAGATCGGTTGTGTATTTGAAGAAAGATTGTGTCGAACTAAGATGACAAATAAAGATAAAATTATTTTTATTATTTTTAAATTCGTATAGCATAGAAGATAAAAGACTGAAGGCCCAAAAGCCTTTCACAGGAGTTACCTTGAAGACCGCCCGATTTTCTATTGTCTTCCATATCTAGATTTTAAAACAGTGAAGAGTGGGAAACTTTTGAACAAACCTAACACTCTAACACCCACCTCATCACACTTGGATTCATATAAAATCGAAATAACTTAGAGATAATGCAAGTAATTTTCAAAATCAGATGCCACAGAAATATTTCAAGCAGGTACATTCGGTTGTGTCCACGTTGTTTATCCTGTTTTATCTGCATTTGTGAACAATAATATATATTAACTCTTTCTTTTCTCTTCTCTTATATATATTAACTTTTATTTTATTTTATTTTATTTTTTCCGACTGAATGTCGCTTTATACGTTTTCAAGGATCATTTAGTTAATTTATATTATTTAAATTCAACTTTAATTGAGGAGTGGCGATAAATAATTCAGAAAACGGATATTAATTTACAGTAAGTAAATTTTTCAATTTTAAAAAATTATATATATATATATATTGTAATTATTTTTTATTTTACACACACACACACACACACACACACACACACACACACACACACACATATATATATATATATATATATATATATATATATATATGGTTAACATAATATGATATACATCACACTGGGAAATGGAAGCGTTATCTTATATCAATGTCCCCAAAAGCAAAAACATGCTTCGTTGAAAGATATCAGTGAGGAGATAGCTAGCAGGCCATCCACTTAAGTCCCCCTACTTCAGTCTCAGAATATTTTCATATATATATATATATATAGTTTACCAGTTATTTTTAACTAGTATTTCTTTCAACAAACGGTTTGGATTGGAGATGAGTTTTTGACAACCAAAATTAACACACCAGCTGCTCTGCTGATAAAGCTACAAGAACTCGCATGGCTGAAAGACCAAATGAAATCATTTAAATGCACTTAATATCTGACAGTTGCAATAAAGACCAACTATAATTAAGAAAGAAATAATTAATAATGTTTAATCTAATAAAAATTATTTCTGCTGGTAATGATAATGCTTTATTTGATAACTAGTTTCTATACAAAAAAATCTCAAAATTCTTTGACTTAGATTTCTTACAAGTAATTATCATTAAACAATTTTTTAGTATGTTATCTAAAATTTACAAAAGCTTGGATTCTATAAAAGTCATTATTTCAATTTTATAATTTTTACCTATATGGTTATTATTTTGCTATTATTTTTCTTAAATATTTTAAACTGACCAAAACTTTACCACTGGGTCTTAGACTCACAACCCAAATTTAAGTTGCATCAAAAAAAATGTTATGATGCATAATCACTTAGTTTCAAAATATATAAATCATCTTCAATAATGAATTACATTATATCAGGGGGTCTGCTCAGCATCACCCACACTCTTGCTTATCACTGAGACAGATTAATTACAAAAACTTCAAGATGGTTAATAATAGGATAAGGAGACAGGAAGGACCGCTTACCATCAAACATTTGGGAACTAAGATGACAAATAAAGATAAAATTATTTTATTATATTTAAATTCTTATAACATAGAAGATAAAAGACCGAAGGCCCAAAAGCCCTTCACAAGAGTTAGCTTGAAGACCGCCCGGTTTTCTATTGTCTTCCTTATCTAGATTTTAAAACAGTGAAAATTGGGAAACTTTTGAACAAACCTAACACTCTAACACCCACCTCATCACACTTGGATTCATATAAAATTGAAATGAGAGGGGGTGAGAGAGAGAAAGAGAAAAAACATTTCTGAGAGGGGGTGAGGGAGAGAGAGAGAGAAAAGCATTTGTGAGAGGGGGTGAGAGAGAGAAAAAAAGAAAAGCATTTGTGAGAGGGGGTGAGAGAGAGAAAAAAAAAAAAATTTCTGAGAGGGGTGAGGGAGAGAGAGAGAGAGAGAAAGAGAAAGAGAAAAGCATTTGTGAGAGGGGGTGAGAGAGAGAAAAAAAAAACATTTGTGAGTGAGAAAGATAAAAAACATTTGTTAGAGGGGGTGAGAGAGAAAGAGAAAAACATTTCTGAGAGGGGGTGGGAGAGAGAGAGAGAGAAAGAGAAAGAGAAAAAGCATTTGTGAGAGGGGGGGGAGAGAGAAAAAAAAAAGCATTTGTGAGAGGGGGTGAGAGAGAGAGAAAGAGAAAAAACATTTGTGAGAGGGGGTGAGGGAGAGAGAGAGAGAGAAAGAGAAAAACATTTCTGAGAGGGGGTGAGGGAGAGAGAGAGAAAAAGCATTTGAGAGGGGGTGAGAGAGAGAAAAAAAAGAAAAGCATTTGTGAGAGAGGGGTGAGAGAGAAAAAAAAAAAAAATTTCTGAGAGGGGGTGAGGGAGAGAGAGAGAGAGAAAGAGAAAGAGAAAAGCATTTGTGAGAGGGGGTGAGAGAGAGAAAGAGAAAAAAACATTTGTGAGTGAGAAAGATAAAAAAAAACATTTGTTAGAGGGGGTGAGAGAGAGAAAGAGAAAAAACATTTCTGAGAGGGGGTGAGGGAGAGAGAGAGAGAGAGAAAGAGAAAGAGAAAAGCATTTGTGAGAGGGGGTGAGAGAGAGAAAAAAAGAAAAGCATTTGTGAGAGGGGGTGAGAGAGAGAGAAAGAGAAAAAAACATTTGTGAGTGAGAAAGATAAAAAAAAACATTTGTTAGAGGGGGTGAGAGAGAGAAAGAGAAAAAACATTTCTAAGAGGGGGTGAGGGAGAGAGAGAGAGAGAAAAGAGAAAGAGAAAAGCATTTGTGAGAGGGGGTGAGAGAGAGAAAAAAGAAAAGCATTTGTGAGAGGGGAGAGAGAGAAAAAAAAAAAAAATTTCTGAGAGGGGGGGAGGGAGAGAGAGAGAGAAAAGAGAAAGAGAAAAGCATTTGTGAGAGGGGGAGAGAGAGAAAGAGAAAAAAAACATTTGTGAGTGAGAAAGATAAAAAAACATTTGTTAGAGGGGGGGTGAGAGAGAGAAAGAGAAAAACATTTCTGAGAGGGGGGGGGGAGAGAGAGAGAGAGAGAAAGAGAAAGAGAAAAGCATTTGTGAGAGGGGGTGAGAGAGAAAAAAAAAAAAGCATTTGTGAGAGGGGGGAGAGAGAGAGAAAGAGAAAACATTTGTGAGTGAGAAAGATAAAAAAAAACATTTGTTAGAGGGGGGTGAGAGAGAGAAAGAAAAAAACATTTCTAGAGGGGGGTGAGGGAGAGAGAGAGAGAGAGAAAGAGAAAGAGAAAAAGCATTTGTGAGAGGGGGTGAGAGAGAAAAAAAGAAAAAGCATTTGTGAGAGGGGGGAGAGAGAGAAAAGAGAAAAACATTTGGAGTGAGAAAGATAAAAAAAACATTTGTTAGAGAGGGTGAGAGAGAGAAAGAGAAAAAACATTTCTGAGAGGGGGTGAGGGAGAGAGAAAGAGAGAAAGAGAAAGAGAAAAGCATTTGTGAGAGGGGGTGAGAGAGAGAGAAAAAAGAAAAGCATTTGTGAGAGGGGGTGAGAGAGAGAAAAAGAGAAAAAAACATTTATTAGCAAGTTTTAGAGAGAGAGAGAGAGAGAGAGAGAGAGAGAGAGAGAGAAAAACATTTTTGTGAGGGGGCTAAGAGAGAGAAAAAGAGGAAACAAAAGATATTGGTTTTCAAAGTTTTGACCAACTACCCCTGCCAGTATTTCTTGCTTTCAAAGGACTGTAAAATTCGAATAAAGTTCCCACATTTTTTTCGAATTTTGTCATTAAATCATGCCGTGTGTGTGTGTGTGTGTGTGTGTGTGTGTGTGTGTGTGTGTGATATATCTTGTGTAATAGCAACATTACCAAATCGTGCAACCGTTAATCTTAGAAATGATTAAAGATATCTTACTGGAATTCTCCGAGGTTTTTATAAGCCGTTAGACTCTACTTGAACAATAAGAATGTATTTAGCTCTAAGTTGAAATGATGATCCCTCTTCCTGTTGTGACCCTCTGATCCAGTTTTCCCCTTTACTGTTTCCTCTTTTTTAAACTTATTCACCGCTGTCTTGATGATTCGTGAATGGACTTTGAAGATGGAATCGAGAGTATTACTGAAGGTCTGAATGGTCTTTTTCCTCTCAGCATTGCTCATTTGGCTAGACAGTGGGTCTAACACAAAACGATTTTAACCTGTTCTCTTTCTAGCTGAATAATTCAAAGGGTTTTTCAGTCATTCTTTCAACAAATGGAATCAAAATGGCGAAACGTCTTATATGAAAACCTGGAAAAAAGAAAATTAGTTTAGTGTTTTTTTTTAGATATTAAACATTTTGTGGGATGGACAATTATCCCATGCTGTTAGACGACTCGGACAATTTTGCTGTGTCACCCTATACACACACACACACACACACACACATATATATATATATATATATATATATATATATATATATATATATATATACACACACACACACATATATATTGCATTTGTTTTTGTGTGAATAATTCATGAATTTGTAAATTGATTGCACGTTTATAGAAATATATATATATATATATATATATATATATATATATATATATATATGTGTGTGTGTGTGTGTGTGTGTGTGTGTGTCTGTGTGTATAATCTTGCATATATTTGTATGTCGCCTGTTAACTCTGTGGTGTATAGTGATTTTCCAAGCGTAGCCTAGATGAGTCACAAGGCCGAAAGTAGGGGGCACCCAGTGAGGATCGAACTCACTACTCAGTCGTAATAGAACTCAGTAGTGTATAGAGTCACAGTTTTAATAACCTAAGTGCTACTGATTTTTGTAGCAAGTAATCTTTACAGGGTGGAGATGTTTGGTCGGTTGACTCATTGTGATTCATGGCAGAGAAATAAGTATTTGCATTTCGAACCTCCCATTCGCTGTTCCCGTAGGTCAATATCGTATTCAATACACGCAATAAATTTAGATCAATCATCCGCCCTGATGAACAAAAATAAACACTTATTTAGTTTAGGATAATTGAAATTGATGCACACGAGCAGCTTTAAATATAAGTAGATATATGATTAAATACTGAGTATAAGTTTACAAATTTTGTATGCACCAATAAAAACGTGTGTGTAAATGTTGTTTGTCTTTCGGCTCTCAAACATCTAGAGTTTACAATATGCAGCTCTTGATATTAAGAAAATGTATCTCCCCCTGAACGAAGTGACAACCACAAAAATCTTTTATTGCTTTAAATATGATTCTAGCGCTTTTTAACAGATTTTCACCCCAAAGTTTATTTCCTGTATACATCTGAAGTTTTTTTCCTAAATGTTGATCAAATACAAAGGCCCAAGAAACACTTAAGGCAGAGGTTTAATGAATGAGTCTGTTGTATGAATGAAGTAATTGCAGATCATATATAAGATAAATAACGGTTGATCCTTGACTTGAAGACGTTAACACTGTCGTGATCGAGGAAGCACCATCCCCAGAGTCTATTCTACAAAGTAGCCGTTCTTGGGAAGAATGTCTGAGTGAAACTTCCTTCGTTTCAATGGCTGGTAGCTGCTCTTGAAAAGGACCTCAATTAGTGGTGAACTCGGGCAAGAAATAGCTTGTATATTTTAACGTCTCTAAAACAAAACTGTTTTCACTTAATAACAACAGAGAACCCTTCTTTTGCCTGCCAACACCATGTCAGACGCTAAACTCCAGGAGAGCAACACGCTACGCCTACTTGGCTTCACGTTTTCCACTGACATGAATTAGAGCGACTACGTAGAATCAATTGCTTCGTCTACTGCAAGGAAAGCTGGTTCACTGTGTCGTGCCAGAAAAGTCTTCTCGACCGAATCCATTTTGCATATTTACAAATCTACCATTCGTCTGTAGATTGAATATTGTTGCCACATATGGTGCTCCTGCTGTACATCTCGAGATTCTTGACAAAATCCAAAAAAGGACCTTGTTGTAGCATACCTACAGACGATAATGGGTATGTCCCCATTCACATAAATACAGTAGTAAATACTGTATGTTGGTCTGCAGTTGGAGATTTATTTCCAGCTGTGCTTGTCAAACTCTCTGTTTCTGGGCTGAGAGGATCCCCAGACGAGGCCATGTTGAAGGGCAGAGTCTTGTCTCGGGAAACAGCTACCCAACCCTATTTTATACGAGGACTATGGAAAATTTTAAGCTGAGCCTATGGGCTCGGATACCCCACATTAAATTCGGCCTTGTGCCACATCTGACCACCTGGAGCGGTTAGTAGATATCCTACAGTCATTGTGGAATTCACTTGACTTACTTCTAGCAGTTGATTACTTCTACGCGCCGCTGGCGAATCTTACATGTCTTGTTCTTGTCCTAAGTATTATCTTTCATTACCAACCTGTGTGTGATTATTCTATTCAGTAACATTCCCTAGGTTGCAACAGATCTGCTATGTAATCGATCCTGATTTGGCATCTCGACTTAAGTCACTTTCTCACTGACGTGACGTGGCTTCCCTCTGTCTTTTCATGGCAACTGTCGTGACGAGCTTTTTCCCCTGGTGTCCCAAATAGATGAATTTAAGCATGTTACTAGTTTGGCAATTAGGTCCCACCGTTTTACTGTTGAAACAATTTCTTTTCTCACACTTCCCACCTTTGAAACTCTTCAGTTTACTTGATTCCGTGATAAATACAATCTTCAAAAATTTAAATCCAACATCAATCGCCATCTTCTATCTTCTTGAACCCCGTTCATCTTTTGTTATTTCTTTAATCTTCTGTCTTCTCATTCTAGTTCTCTTTGTTCTAGTGGCATTGGTGTGAAATACTTGGCGTGAAATGAATAAAAATAGGAATATGAAGCGAATAGAAATGAATTGATCTAGTGTAGATGGCACTACAGGCGGGGATCCTAGCTGTGAAGGTCAGGGCCGGTGAAACTAAAGAATGTGGCTCGTCTGAAAATTGTTGTCAGGGAAAATGCGAAAGTGTACCGACATGGGGAAAAAGTGGGGTAGGGTTGGAAATAATTCTTCGCGCAGAAAACCGAGTCAATGTTTTTGAATTCTGTCAAGACTGGAATGTGAGGATTGGGCATCTCTAGCCCAATATGGCAACAATATTCCATTTTTGGTCTGATTTGACTCCTATACAGACAGAGAATGGCAGTAGGTGTTAGGTACTTCCTATATCAGTACAATCAACCGATTATTTTTCTAGCGTTTTTATCGTATACAGTCCGTCTGAAATAATTATGCAAATCACATAAAATTCAATAACTCGAATTAACTTCTAAACAATTATCAAACGATTAATTTATATGTTAGAACAAAGCATTAGTTAAATATTTAAGTAGTTTCAGCATGTTTAATCAAAGCTACTGGATTGTAACAAACTTCACAGATTTCGCGCTCGAACTTTCCATTGTCTTTAAAAATCCAAACCTGTCGAACATTGATTGAACCCGTCCTACTGTATGGATCAGAAACTTGGACATTATCTGTTCGCCTTGAAAGACGACTGGATGGATCATATACAAATCAACTTAGAAAAATCCAAACCATCAGTTGGAGATCCCATGTAACGCTTAACACAATTTACTGAGACCAATCTCTCTTAAGCTCAAACAAAAACGATTATAGTTTGCCGGCCACTGCCACCGAGCGGACACGGAGGTCGTCTCATACTTACTTCTATGGCATCCTTCTCACGAAAATAGACTTTCCCAGACACCACGGCTCCGGACTCAGGGTTGGATATTGGGGATCTGAGGACAACAGTACAGGATCGAACTGTGTGGAAAGAGATGGTCAATGGAGCTCCGACCAACCATAGGGAGGTTGTAGAATGATGATGATGATGGTGAAGTTATTTTTAAAAACCATAAAATCACTTTTTACCTCAATAATAATAAAATTATCAACAATTGACCAACACCTATAATAGAACAAATAACAAACACATATGATAAGTTTTTGAACCATTAGCATCTTAATATATTGGTCCTTCTTTTCAATAACAGCCAGCAATTTATTATTCATTGATTTTATTACTTTTTAGTTTTATTTCAGAGGGTTCAATTTCCGACATGTTGGTTTTAATTGCTCCTCATAGGACTGCTTTGTTGCCATATTGTTTGCCAACTTTATATAATCTCATCTTCACAATTGACGAGATTTTCGATCGGA